GAAGGTCTCAGTGGGTGTGCCCGCATGCGTCCCGCACACCCATTTCGGCACACCCCTCACACGTTTCGTGGCCCCATAGGGAGCTCCACCGAAGGTCCCAGTGGGTGTGCCCGCATGCGTCCCGCACACCCATTTCGGCACACCCCTCACACGTTTCGTGGCCCCATAGGGAGCTCCACCGAAGGTCCCAGTGGGTGTGCCCGCATGCGTCCCGCACACCCATTTCGGCACACCCTCACACGTTTCGTGGCCCCATAGGGGGCTCCACCGAAGGTCCCAGTGGGTGTGCCCGCATGCGTCCCGCACACACATGTCGTCCCACCCCTCACACGTTTCGTGGCCCCATAGGGAGCTCCACCGAAGGTCTCAGTGGGTGTGCCCGCATGCGTCCCGCACACCCATTCCGGCACATCCCTCACACGTTTCGTGGCCCCATAGGGAGCTCCACCGAAGGTCCCCGTGGCGCAGTCCACATGCGTCTCCTTTGCCCAGTACAGCGTTACGTGGCCCCATATGGAGCCCCACCGCAGGTCCCAGCCAGCCAGCTAGCTCTCTTTGCTCCGCGCAGCGGGCGACCCGCGCGCGTCGCTGGGACTCCTCCGGGGCGACCTGCGCGCGTCGCGGGGGCTCCGTGCTGCGTTCCGCCCAGCGCCTCGCTCGCCCGTCGTCGCTCTGCCCAGCGGCAAGAGCCTTGCCCGCTATCAGCCAGCCAGCTAGCTCTCTTCGCTCCGCGCAGTGGACGACCCGCGCGCGTCGCTGGGACCCCTCCGGGGTGACCTGCGCGCGTCGCGGGGGCTCCGCGCTGCGCTGCTCCCGCAGCCTTGGACTTTTGAGTGCGCGGGCAAAGAGGGAGTAAAGGAAGGGGAGGAAGCGGGCGCGATCCTCGCGGGGGGGCGCGCCGACATTGGCGTCGCGGCGCGCGGGCGATGCCGTCGGGGAGTCCCGGGGAAGCTCCTTGCGGCGGCCACGCCCAGCGTCACGAGTATTCAGAGGCAGTCGTTGTCAAACTATTGGCATTCATACACATTTGCACCACGCTTTGTCATATTCGCATTCATGCACGTAGACTCGCTCGCACGCAGATCATTCACAGTCAGACGCACGCGCGCAGATTCACCCGCGCTCAGTCTCCCTACGTACTCAGATCAATCGTTTTCGTTCACTTTGTGTACCACGCCACTCATGTCGGCACGCCCCTAGCACGGTTCGTTGCCTCATAGGGATCGCCACCGAAAAAATGAATCACTATTGCGGTACTCGCACCTGCATATGGTTGGGTCCCTCGTCAGGCTAATTTCACGACGACGACTACTACTGCTACCACGAGTACTACTACTACTACTGCTACTACGACTACTACTACTACGACGACTACTACTACTTCGACTACTACTACTACTACTACTACTACTACAACTACTACTACTACTACTACTACTACTACTACTACTACTACTACTACTACTCTCACAGATCTGAAGCTGCTACTACTATCACTACGACTACTACTACTACTACTACTACTACTACTACTACTACTACTACTGCTACTTTTACGACTACTACTACTACTACTTCTACTACTACTACTACTACTACTACTACTACAACTCCCGGTGCTACTGTTACCACTACTACTACTTACTACTACTACTACTACTACTACTACTACTAGTACTAGTACTACTACTACTACTACTACTACTACTACGACTACTACTACTACTACTACTACACTACTACTACTACTACTACTACTACTACTCCTACTACTACTACTACTACTACTACTACTGTCACTACTACTACTACTACTACTACTACTACTACTGCTACAACTACTAGTCACTACTACTACTACTACTACCACCACTACTACTACGACGACGAATATTGCTACCACCACCACCACTAGAAGTACGAATAATCATTTCGACTACCAGTATTGTTATTATCACCACCACTATTTCCACGACTACTACTACCACTGCTACTACAATTACCTACTACTACTACTACTACTACTACTACTGCTACTACGGCTACTACCACGACTACTACTACTACTATTACAACCACACGACTATTACGATCACTTCTTCTATTATTGCCACTGTTGTTGCTAGTAGGACTACAATTGTGATTATTGTTACTTCCATTACGGATACTGATATGACAGCTACTATCGTTACGACTACTACTTCTACTACTACTGCTACTACCAGGACTACCACTGTTAGTTCTTTTTTTTCTACTACTACTACTACTATTACCACTACTACTACTACTACATTTACTACTACTGCGATTACTACTTCCATTACTACTACCACTACTACTACAAGTGCTACTACTACTACTACTACTACTACTACTACTACTACTACTACTACTATTACTACTACTGCTACTACTACCACCTATTATTATTACCACTGCGTCAACAACTATGAGCACTACGACTGCTACTACGATTGCTACTACTACTACTGATATTATT